GTGTGTCATGGCTTTCTGCATTCCTCCCCAGGTCAACACTAAAGTTAGCACTGAAGAGGACTGACCTGCACAAGGGTGGAGAAGAAGATGGGTTAAAAAAAAAAGCTCCAAAATCAAGGAGAAGACAAAGCACTTTACTTTCTCACCACCTTTGCTCGCCGACCAAGAAAACTCCTCAAACACAGTATGGGTCAAATCTGCCTTACATTGATTGGAATGCCACCTGAATGTATTCCTGCAGAGATGTAACAATGCCTTCATGTGGTCAAAAAGCTGCTCTGACCTCCTCCCACAGTCCAAACATGCAGGTTTAGGTTCATTGGCGACTCTAAATTGGCCGCAGGTGTGAATGTGAGTGTGAATGGTTGTATGTCTCTATATATCAGCCTGAACTTCCCACAGTGCCACATGATTTCAAGTGCTTGGTCAATACAGGTAAGGCATCCAATGTACTAGTTACATGTTACACGCCCAATTATGTCAGCTACCTGTTAGCTTGACCACATGTAACAGAAGAAAGCAACCAAACTTAGCATTGGCAGCGACAGCGACAGTAAGCCGTTTCACTGGCTAGGCACGATGTTGGTCAATGAAAGAAACCGTAATTTCTAAGCACTTCTACAGGATCATAGAACAGATGCATAGAGCCTTTGTTCGGCATGCCACATGTAATAATAATGTTGAATCTACTGACATTCTTGTGGTCTCCTTATGGGTGCCCTCTCCTTTGGTTTATCATTATACATTTGTGTGTCTTATTCTAGTATTTTGTTATTTTTTAATAGCTGTGTATTGCTATAAGGATAATGTACCAATCCTGGCATGGATTTACAGTACAGTATAACACATTATATATATAATATGATAGTTTACAGTATATAAACACACTGAAGAAACATCTGTGCACATATAAATGTCATAGAAATATTTTATGGTATTCAGTATTTGTAATTTAAAATGTTTAACGTTTTTGCACCCATGCACCAGCCTCTGCACAGCACTGACGCCCTCGGTTATTTAGCTAAAATTACTAAATGAGTAGACCTACATTATATTATATTATAGACCTTATTATGTTCTTAGCCTGTTCTGTTCAATGTCATCCTGAGGTAATGTTGTTCCACTGTTGAGTCTAGTCTTCTCTACTACTGAAGTTATGCTATTGTTACAGGGGATTTGAATGAACATATTCAAATCTTTATACAGTACATTTACTTTTACATTTACATTCACTACATGAAATATTCATTTTTAAACATTATATTTTTATGCTTTCTTATCCATTGGCTATGTCATTCTACTCTTACCCTTCATCACTGTTTGCATAAAAATGTCTGAATACAGTTTTTGAAATATTGAAAGCAAAGTTATTTTTTCTGGCTTTATATGCCTTTATTGTAGATGCAGTGAGAGAGAGACAGGAAAGTTGGGGAGAGAGAGACTGGGTGGCATGCAGCAAAGGTTAGGACGTTTAGGACCAAGCTTTAATGGTACGCGCTCTACCAGATGAGCCACCGAGGCGCCCTGCAATTTCACTTTTAAGGTTACAGATGTCTGTCTTAAATTTGTTTATATTCATTGGTGCAACAAAGATTTACATAGATTCTGCATTTCATACAAGGCCAGTTATGGCAACATCCTCAAATACCCCCTTATCACCAAGATGATGGTTTTGTGGGTATTTCTTCACAATCGAGGTATTCCTGAGAAGAACAGGTTATTCATTTTTTAAAATCTTTCAAAAGCCTAAACTACATTGTTTTACATTTCACTGAGTCCAAGTAGATATATATATATATATAATATATATATATATATATATATATATATGACTTAATACTTAAGAAAACCAATATGTCTTCATGTATTTTCATTTTTTTTGTTTTCATTACAGTTTGACAGCTCAGTAGTTGGAGAAATAGATGATGCCACTATGGCTGCTTACATTCCAGCGAATGGTGATAGGATTGCTACAAGGTGTTTCTGCATGGATGAACAGAGAAAAGCTGAAGATGATGTAAAAAGACAGTCCTTATTTAAAAAACGAAGAAGAAAGAAACAGTACGTAAGGGCATTGGATGAAACAGGCCTCCAGAAGATGTTGAGATTTGTGACAGGGTCTGATGTCATCTGCGTTAAAGAAATTAAAATCATAATCATCCCATTAGCGGGGCTAGAAAAGCGGCCAGTTGCACATACTTGTGGCCAAACGTTGGAGCTAACAGCAGCAACAGCTACCCTGAGCTCCGAGCTGAAATTGAGACTATACTGACCAGCACCCTCTGTGTGATGGACATGTCATAACAGTGCCTCACTCACTCACATGTACACACTTTTCCCCTCCTTGTTTACTCTTTGCCTAGTTGTATTCTTATCAGTGTTGGCTGTATAGCTTTGGACAATGTCTGAATGTGAAACAGAGCACATGAGGAGAATATACCAATTAGCTCAGGAAATGTATTATAAGCTCAGGATATTTTTGTTTCTCAGGATTTTCATTTTCTTTTGTATCATGAAAGTCATCACCAGAGTTTGACTGTCTGTGACAACTTGCATACTGGCTGATGAACATTCTGTTCATTGACCTGCAGGAACACAAAAAACAAATATGCAAATGTGCAAAACTGTTTACTGCTATGGAGTATGTTTTTGGACCTGAATATACAAGCTTAGTGCAGTTTTATAAACAATGAAAAAGTCATGCTTTAACATGTAAAAAAGGGCCATTGTTATCCTTTAAATATGTTTTATAATGTTAGCAGTTAGCAGAAGTCATTTGTGTACTTTGTTGTGTTACAGTCCCCAAGATTTTACACTGAAGTGGAGTCAAGCCACTACCCAGTGCCACAAATGGTAGTTGGCTATTTACTGTAATAATTGATATTTTCTAACAGAGCTGAGTGAAAAATAAGACCAAGCTTAACATAGGCTGTCCTGTTTGTAATGGGCCCAACGTGTGTCAGGTCACATTTGTTTATTCTAAATAATTCCACACCATGATGGCAAATTTGCCATTGCCATGTGATGCACTGATTCATATGCAGCTACAAGACTGTCCATAATTTGTCCATAACGATTAATGAACAGAGGAGATAATATGAAGCTCAGGGGGGAGATGTCAACTGTTAAAGCGTTCACTGTTCACCTGTTCACCTGTTCACCTGTTCACCTCTGTTAACCATTTACACTGAAATTCACAGTCCATAATATTTTCCACCCTTAGAAAACTGTAAGTGTATTGTTATTTTGGCTTTGAGTGTGTGCTCACAGCAACAAAAGCAACAAATGTCAAACACAGTTTTATCACAGGGTCCTCTCTGAAGACATTCCTCCCTGCATGTCTGAATCTTTTGTTGGGATACCTCTTCAAGGTACTCCGTGGCACCAAATAGCTGGGGTAGGGTGTAAATCATCACTGAACATCCACCTAGAGACACAACATTTCTGTAAGGGCGAATTCTGTGAGGGTTCCACAGGTGAACAACGTCCTGCAGTTCTCTCTAATGAAAAAGACTGGAAAAGTGAGAAATGGTTGCAAGAAAACCTGCAGACAAAATAAATGCTTATGGTCCTTGTATGGTCATATAGGGCAGGGGTTCTCACACATTTTCATTTGCACATACCCTCAAAAGGATGCATGTTAATTCCTATTTGAAAAGAATACGTCCCAGACTGATCACAGGCCAAACAATAACTGTCTCCAGGGGTGGAAAGTAGATTTACTCAAGTACTACACATCTGGGGCACTTGTAACTTACTTGAGTATGCCCATTTATTTTGTGCAACTTTATACTACTCCATTACATGTTAGAGGCTATTGTGCTTTTTACTCCACAACATTTGTCTCACAGCCTTAGTTACTTTCAAGACTACAGTTTTTCATAACCTCACTGTCCAGTGAAAACTACTCTCCAAATTTTGTGATTATTAATTTGATTTCTTTTTTCCTGATAAAATGAAGGATAAGTATATGTCTGAGCAGTCGTAGTTAAAATGAACTCAACCATAAACATCAGTAGTAAAATGCAACATACATACTAATGCAGCAATATTAATCCAAAATGAATTTTAAAAAAAACACACAATAGTAAAATGCTGACAAGGGCCATTGTAATTGAACTGACTGTCACAGCATTATGGCACGGGGCACGATGGACATCATAAAATAACATTGCACAGCTTTGAGTTATACATTTCTAAAGCAAAAAACTTACAAATTTCTCACCTCTATTATTTCAAGACAACTGAATTGTACCAAACATTTGTCTAGAAAGTCACCAGAGAAATAAACACAATCTTTTAAATCTTAAAAATTGTTGATCCAGAACTAGGCATGTTGTCTCCTCAAAAATCCCCTGTGCTCTCCTCTGGCTATGATTGTTTGAGCTATACACGCCTCAGTTGCACTCCAGTACTTTCAACAATTGCCTGATTGTCTCTAGAGTCACCAGCCAGCCTCTATGCATTTCAGATGCATCGTCTCAGAAGAATCATCATGGCCATACTTAAGCAGTTATTAATCACCAAACCAAAGCTGACATTCCAGTACCCATGAATAGTGGAGTATTCTATTTTTTTGGTTTATGTGTGACCTGTGAACAAGTAGGCACCTCTTACAATAAACTGGCATGTGTCATTTTTGTATTGTATTTTGTTATAATTTAGTATCACATATGCAAACACATGTCCTTGTGAAGCTACACTTTCAAAGTAGCTTTCCCAACACTGTGTATATATACTATGTGTACTTAGGTATTTTCATGTGTATACGATATATACATGAGTATGTATGTGTTTATTATTGGATATAATGTAACTGACTTTTAAAATGAAAACATCTCTTAAAAAAAGACTAAAAAAGTGGCTTTGTGATATAAACGACCGGCAATAAAAGTACTTGTATTATACTTGTAATTTCTTGACAATAAAAATATTATATTTTCTAAATCAATCTTCGCCACGCCCCGGAAGATCTATTTTTCTTTTGTACTTCCGCGGTAGCTGTCATGGCGGCGCCCTGAACGCTCGAGCTTCGGAGACTCAAGTATCTTTATAGCAACATAAAAACCAAGCCGGGTATCAGAGCAGGCTGCAGTCATGACGCTCAGTGACCTGCCGAAGTGGAATAAGAGAGCGGCAGCAGTGTATGCCTTTGGCATCTGGACCATGATAGGTTCCTACGCATATTTCAGATACACAGGTCGCTATGAGGACAAGCCAGGTAAGATTCAATGTGAAACAGCAGTCAGCGTTGTAATATCTCTAGTTCCTGTAAATAACTGTTGCCTAATTTGTAACGTATCTGCCTGTTCAAGGAACAATTAAGTAACTCAACTGCTGTGTGTGTGTATATATATATTGACATATATATTGCAGCCTGCTCACTGTACATTCATCACTGTACACAGCTGTACACACTGTACAATAGTGCTGTATATACACACACATATATATACGTATGTGTGTGTCAAAAAAAATCGGCTAATAGTGCTGTGTACGGTGATGAAAAGTGACTAAATACAAATTTAGATTAAATGTTATTGTCATTACACCCACTACCAGTGCAACAAAATACAGTTTAGCATCTACCAGCAAGAAACTGCATATTAATATATATGCTAAGATGAATGAAGAATGAACAGTAAACCAATGGGGTAATATGTCCAAAATGAACCAAACAATCATAATAGAAAATATACAGTACAGAATATGCGTATAGTATGGTCATGTCCAATAAATAATACAGTTTAATGAGTCTGATTGTGTAATATACAGTATAAATGACAAGTAGCCTATGTGATATAAACACTATAAAAATAAGCCATTATATACAGTTGGGTGTAGGGATGGGAACTGATAAAGAGTTTATTGATACCATTGATATTATCTATTTTGCTTATTGGTCCAATTTTCTATAGACTCCCTTAAAAATTCCTGATAGAAATGTCTGTGACAGTAATAACCACAGTTACTATACTAACAGTAGACATTTACTCTCAATAATGGACGTGGTGATCAGGTGGGAAGGAGTGGCACTTATGCCATGTAAAAGTGCAAAATATAAGCCATCCCTTGATTTAAGCCCATGTTTGTTAGAAAGATGTTTCAGCATATTGCTGTTGTTTCTATCCTTACTTGAAATGACTATTTTACATATATTACAAGTAGTACTGTTGTCATCTTTCTTCAAGGAATAAAAAAGGTGATGGACTGTTTCTTCTTCTCCACCATGACTCCTTCTTGTTGCAAGTTTCCAGCAGAGTAGATGCACAGATTTGACATCATAATTTTGCAATGCACAACAGTCAGAAAAACATGCTGGCATCAATAAAAGGAATTGAGTTTGCAAGTTAAGATTTTAAGAACATACAATGAACCTATGAAATGCCACACATTGTTATGTAGCACATATAAAAGCTTATAGTATATTTAATATAAAAAAGTTCAAATTAGCTCTAAATTGATAAGATAAAAAAATAAAATGACGCATACATGATAATGTGTTCGTAATAAAAATGATCCAATCCAATATAATAGCTGATTATGATAATAAACAATTTTACTGTGTTTTACTGTGGACACTGTATTGCTGACAATACTTTAAAACTTTGAATGCAGGAGATTTACTTGTAATGGAATATTTTTATATTGTTATATTTCTTTAGTAAGGTATGGGTTTGATTACTTTCAATATCAACTAGTCATATTCATTTAGACTCTACTAACCTTCTCAGTTAGCATACAGTGTCCTCCCAACCCACTTTACCCAAATATGATATCAATAGTAACGGATACATACACTGTAAACTGTTTACTTTCCCCTCAGTGACAGAAGAAGTGGTGCAAGAGCAGGAAGATCCAGATCAAGTCGTCCACCAGACACTTCACAGCAAAACCATCCTCACCTACAAGAAAGACTTCGTCCCATACAGCACAAGGATCTACAATTTCATCAGATCATTCAGCAGTGAACCTGGGACTGGAGGCGATGAAAAGTAGCTGCCTCAGGGCAAAGGACACACGACTGGAGGTTTACTCTTGTCGAGAGTAAATCCCTATGATGAGGAAGGAATTTATGCTTTTGTTCAAAGACATTACTGTAATTTGTAAAGAAAATTCCAAGGGGTGTCTATCCAAGCTGCCTGTGTGTTTGGATGCCAATGGACTGTCACTGATGATGTTATATTAGTGAAATAATATAAAATATATTATTACAACAATATAACATGACCACCATGTAAAGTTGCCACAATGTTTAAATAAAGCTATGTTTAAACATAAGTTTAGATTCCCTTTGACTTTATTGGTATAATAAGTATCTGAGTGTCTTTATATAATTTAAGGCACTATCATGAAAGTCATAGGAGGTTGTGCTTTCAGCCTGGTGTTAGCTTAGAAAAGTTTTGGCAACAGATATCGCAGTATTCTGAATGAGGACTGATATAACAGTCTTGAAATAAATACTTCTTATGTGAAACTTTTAATTGTTTTCATAGAGTCGAAGAGATGTTTAAATTCTTTGGTTCTTTATCATAGTAGGAAAAACACAGGTGTTACCAACATTAAATGTGGCTTTATTCAGTGAGCCATTACTGAGGCAGTTAAATTCTGCCATCATTAATTTTTATCATTTACACCTGTACTTTTCCTACTGTGACATATCATCAAAAACATATTAGAAGCACCTTTTAATATACAACAATCCAATCCAACAATCCAACACCACCATGAAGTGTCACCTCAAAATGAACAGCAGAATTGAGTCTGTATAAAAACAACACAGTGATGTCAACAAAACAGAACACCTTAAGTAGGCTAGTTATTTCATACAGGGCTATTGCATTACATCTCTTTTGTTTTTTTGGTCATCCAATAAATACCTGTAATCCCCAACTCTGCAATATAGAGTGATACCCTATTATTCCCATTCTCTGCACAGTCATCATACAGGAAGTTTACAAATATTCACATCTGGGTGTTGCTACAATAAAGATTCACTGGTGGAAGGAGTGTTACTGAAGCAAAATCCCCCCAAAAAACCAAACTATCACTCTGTACTGTAAAAATAGTCCTACTCATATACTCCATTAATAAAAGCCTTGCATTCAGAATTTAACTTAAATCAAAGTATGTTCATATTGTAATCAAAAATTCAAGTTAAAAGTGACATTATAATATTTATATATATTTTTTTCAAAATGATTATGACATGCAAAGAGCATTTCATTAAATTATTTAACAGAGGTGTGTGGTGATGTGTGCCAATTATGGCTATTTTATACACTGTTGGTTGAATTTAATTTACTGAGTGTAACAACATAGTATATGTATTTATATGCACATAAACCTTAATCTTCAAAGTTGCTATAGCTGTCAGATAAATATAGTGGGGCAAAATCTAAGAGGATAATTTAGCTTTAGGTAAAATTAGAATTATACTCAAGTGCTACTTGAGTAAATGTACTTAGTTACTTTCAGCCACTTGGGTCTGAATGACTTGCTATAAGGAGCAGTCCTGTCCCAGCGGCCCTTCACAGGATATGTGCTGCGGCCGTTAGAGGGCGACAACGTCCCGTCCAACGCTGTGATTCCTCGGAAGTTGTGAGAGCGTGCTCCCCAACACAACCAAAACAATGAAAGCTATCGTTCAGAGGGTCACCAAGGCGACTGTGACAGGTAAGCGAAACCACCATGCTTTTGTGAATTTGATAATGTCCGGTTACCGAGGCCAGTAGCTTTCATTTATTAAGCCCGCTGACCATGCATGTTAGCTAACTTAGCGTGGTTAGCATTAGCACTCCCAGCAAAATGAACGAGTTGTTAGCAACGGCCAGGCGTGTCTCTGCTAGCTGGCTGTCCCAGCTCGGACGAAACCTGTAGGTTAAGCTTATTTCAGTAATAATGAAAGTGTCCTCTGTGTGTCAGTGTTCGTGACAGCTGAATGAGAGTCTTGACTCCTTTCTTCAGCACGCAGTCATGTCACTCAGTATGTCACCTGTTAGTTTGGGCTTGTCATTGAATGACAGCAGCAGTTCATTCACTCATCAACGTGTCTGTGTTTCCTGCAGTGGGAGAGGAGCAGGTCAGTTCAATAGGACGAGGACTGTGTGTGCTCCTGGGTATATCTGTGGACGACACCCAGAGGGATGCTGACTACATGTGAGTGTGTGTGGGAGGGTCCTTCAACACCAGACACAGCACCCTGACTAGATTCGAAATCATTGCTTAAACATTTGTGTCAGAAAAAAAATATTATTCATGATCAAAAATGTTCTTAGTAAGGTGGAGGGTGTTGCAGTTCTAAGGAACTATCTGCACAGTACAAAAGTCTATTAACACAATCTTTAAAATTGAAAATGAAACGATTCAAGCATGCCCCAAGAATTTGCTTGCTGATTTTTATGCTGCATTGAAATGAATGGGAGGCGATGCCTGCCTGGAACGGTTGGACAAATAAATCCCAAAATCGAAAACATCCATTTAAAGCATGCAAGAAATCCATTGCATGTCCACACCTTTGGTTTCAACAGAAGATGTAAGGCTCAGATTTTATGGAGTAAATAGCAAATTTGTGTTTCTGTTTTAACAAGCAATCCCAGAAGTGTAATTCGACACTGTATACAAGTCTGGTATGATAACCTGGCAGCACATTCTAAGCTGGCACATCTCATCCAGACAGCCATGAAGATCACAGGGAAAAAAGAACACCACTTTCTTCAGTCCTTATGTGAGAAATCTGTGCTTAGGGAGGCACAGAAGATTCTGAATAATCCAACACACATCCTGAACCCAGAAATCGAGATACTGCTGATGGTTCAGGACGGCAAATTGTTGATTGAACAGGTTCAGGAACATAATTCAGTCCTCCTTCAATCAAGATATTAAAAAAGAACAAGTAGAGTTACAATACCTACTGTATATATCTGGGTTATTATCAAAACCATTGTAGTTTTTATTCTTTTAATATCTGGTTTTATTAGAAAAACCATTGTCTTCTATCACAATGCATTACTATACCTGGTTTTATTATTGTAATCACTGTTTTTATCACCCTGTCTCACATTCAACTTCAGAACATATTGTATAGGTTTGTAGATATTATTTATATACTTGCACACATGTGTATTGTGAGTTGTTTTGTCATGAGATGCAGTCCAAAACAAGTTTCCCCTGCGGGATAATAAAGTATACCTTACCTTACCTACCATGCCTGCCTGGAGGATTGCAAATGGACTACAAATTAATGGTGTACTTAAATGTTCAGCAATAATGGGATAAATTGCCAATCCAGTGTGGTCACACTGATAAGTTAGTAGAGACAGAGTGGAGCACTCATTGCAGCTCAGACTCATTAGGCTGATTCCACACTGCTTTTCTCCTCACGGTTTCAGAGTACGTAAGATCCTGAACCTCCGGCTGTTTGAAGATGAGAACGGGCGAGCATGGAGCAAAAGTGTCATGGATCGGGACTTTGAGGTGCTGTGTGTGAGCCAGTTCACCCTGCACTGTATACTGAAGGGAAACAAGCCAGACTTCCACTCAGCCATGCCTGCAGAGCTGGCCCAGCCCTTCTACAACAGCATCCTGGAGAACATGAGGAGTGCCTACAAACCAGAGCTTATCAAGGGTGGGTGAACTGATGACCGCCCTCTTTACTGTCCTCCTTTATAGTCCTACAGTCGTGTGTTCCTGCTGCTCTTGGACCTTATACCATGCAGTTTTTATATTAGATTATGTCTTGAAGAATTTTAGTATATTCAGTATGTCTATATGTATGTCATTATATATGTACTCATACAATGTCAAACCCCGGTCTGATATTAAGTAGTTGACTGCCTTTGTTGATGTCTGAGAAGATGATGGATTTTGTGAAGTCAGCGTTGAAAAACAGTTAGAATTTAAAGGGTCATATGTGAAAAGTGTTGCCAGTTTAAATAGAGTCCCAGGAGGTTGGAGGACAGCGTGGCTAAAAAACACTGGGTTGTTCACTGCTATTTGTTTCCAAGCTAATTAAAAACAAAAGTGTCGAGAGTCACTATTATTGCCACTCACTTATAAGCTTGGACCAGTGCCATGTCCCCCTGCTGTTTTAATTGCCTCTATTCCCATCTCAGTGTAGGGTTATGGCAGTTTAGGGGGTGGGAGGTGTGGATTATCCGTGCTGTGACGCGGTGGTGGTGGCACTGAATTGGGTCAGTCCACCGGGGAGCAGGTGCGAAGAACACCTTGTCCCAGCAAAGGAGGCATAAGGCTTACTAATTAGCCCCCCCCCCAGAGAGGAAATATGATGATGCAGCGCTTTCCCCACCGCGGCCCACGGCTTCATTGTGCAGATGGTTTCATTAATCTCGCGGACCCAGTGGAAGAAAGGAGAACATTTAAGTTGAAACTTCCTCTCCTCCTACAGCCCCCTCGTCTTTTGTCCCCAATGTCTCAAGGCTCCATGTTATCCTACATCTTTATGAAACATAGACTGACATTGGCAAACAATTTCCACTGCCTTTTTACTGCCTGTTTAATATTAGGATGTGTGTCATTTGGGATGTACTGGCCTCCTTAGATAGAGTAAACTGTTGGCTATAATAGGCAGTGATGCTAAAAGATGAAATGACTTATAAAATGTCCTTGTGTTTTGTTTTGTGTGTCTAGATGGGAAGTTTGGAGCCTACATGCAGGTCCACATACAAAACGACGGACCTGTTACCATTGAACTGACCTCACCTGCTGGTACCACAGACCCCAAACAGGTACATGACGGTTCAAGTAGTTTGACTAAATTATCTTACCCGGAGGGCAAGCTGTTTTCCTCTTCTTTTAACTGCATTTCATGGACTTCATCAGCTCGAGTCTGCTCATTGAGATGGATCAGTTGCCAGATACAATTGTAAATGGACATTTAGTTATTATTTTGTAAAGGTCTGAGAAAAGCAAATGCGTTAAACAGTAATTGGTTCTCATTTATTCTGCAAAAAAAAAAAAACAACTTAAATTCATGCATGAAGTGTCATTCCACTTTTAAAGGAGTCATTTTATTTCTCATTTTGAACCACTAGATGGTGATATTTGCTCTTCTGTTGTGTGTACTCACTCTTGCTTCTCATGTTACATGCACAGCACTGGGTTTTAAAAAAAAATAAGAATAATGAGTAAGAAACAAAGACAAACATTTTTGAAATTGGTATTTATATTCCACTACTGCTGACCTCATCTGTTTGATATTTAACTAGGTGTAAGTGATACGACCCAACAGATTTTTGAGGCCAATAGTGATATTTTACAGTTAGAACAATGCAACATAAACACACAGTACATACACATTTTAATAAGAATTTCTGAAATGTGGTTATTGAAGACGTATTGACCAGGACATTTTACAGTGGGAAAAATAAACCCAGATATAACACTAAATTTTAATTTGTGCACTTCATTGGAAATGAAATTAGTGTCAACAACCACTATAAACAACAACACAAATGC